TTTTTTTTTTTTTTTTTTTTTTTTTTTTTTTTTTTTTTTTTTTTTTTGTGAATTCAAAACAACGAAATAAATACAAATATATTACTTATTATCACTGAAAACAAAATAACAACTTGTCTAGGGTTTAGGGTTTAGGGTTTAGGGTTTAGGGTTTAGGTTTGAGTTCGTTTGTCTGTATACATTGACAGAGTTTCTTATAGAGTATGAATTGTTTTAGTCTTATATAGATTAATTTATTTCTTTATTTTAATTTATTTATTTATTTTATTTTATTTATTTATTTATTTAATTTAAATAAAATAAATAAAAACAATTAAAACCACCGCCAGCAGAAATTAAAATTTTTCGTTCAACTTTTCTGTTTGCTGCATAGAAACATCGACGATTCTTTTTTCTTTTTTTTTCTTTTTTTTTTTGTTTTATTATAATATAATATATAATTATATTAATTATTTAATCGTTATGTTGAAATATAATAATATAATGCATGCATTCTATCACCAATTCCTGATGGTTATACGATGCATGCTACTGGGGCAGCAGCAGCAGCAGCAGCTGCTGCTGCTGCTGCTGCTGCTGCTGCAGCTGCTACTGCTGCAGCTGCTACTGCTGCAGCTGCTACTGCTGCAGCTGCTGCTGCTGCAGCAGCTGCTGCTGCTCTTGCAGCAGCAACTGCTGCTGTTGTTGCCTTGCTTAAGAAGATAAGAGGTCAAGAGCTGCTGCTGCCGCTGCTGCTGCTCTTGCTGCTGCTGCTGCTGCTGCTGCTGCTGTGTAGCCCCAACAGACTCAGCCAGGGAGCAGCCTGCGGGGTTTGTGCTTCTTGCTGCAGCAGAGCAGCAGCAGTAGCAATGTCGTGCGGCCTCGTTATCTTCATATTGTCTCCGGTTGTCTGCAGCACCACAGCTGTATGTACACCGTTTGGCGGTGGTGGAGCTGCTGCTGCTGCTGCTGCTCCTGCTGCTGCTGCTGCTGCTGCTGCTGCTGCTGCTGCGAGACTTGGTCGGTGCTCTGCTCTTTCAGGACCTGCTGCAGTTGTTTCTGTTGTTGCTGCTGCTGCTGTTGCTGCTGCTGCAGGCAGCAGCTGCAGCAAAGACACATCGTCTGTTATGCCCTGGAGGGTATATTCTATGTTCTGAATCCGCCGCTGCAGCAGCAGCAGCTGCTGCAGCTGCTGCTGCTGCTGTTGCTGCTGCTCCTGTTGCTGCTGCTGCTTGGAGTAGTCTTTGTGCTGCTCCAACAACGGTTGCTGCTGCTGCTGCAGCTGCTGCAGCTGTTGCTGCAGCTGCTGCTGCTCCTGCTGCAGCGCGAATAACTCTGCGTACGCCTGCAGCAGCAAATCCAGTCTCACCACCTGCAGCAGCAGCAGCAGCAGCAGCAGCAGCAGAAGACACAGAAGTTGCAAATGAAGAAGCAGCAGTTCCATCAGCTGCAGCACCTGCAGCAGCAACAC